TTCATTCAGGTTAAGATATTAAATTCTTCATCTATGAGAAAATACTTAGGTTTCCAAATATTTTTACATCTAAACAGGAGTACTTATTTATTTGCTCACCCAACCTGAAATATTATATTAAATGCCTGTTCTTTCCATGAAGCGCTTTGACAGATCCTTACATGAGAAACAGCTAGTAACCAGGAAAGCCAGGAGGAAGGCTTTTGACTTTCCCATGGGAATCACTGTGGTTCATCTGCCTGGATTCCTTTAGCAAGTCTCTTGAGGTTGAGTTCTGGTATGAATCCAGTGGTGATGGCCCGACTGTGAGAACCTCAGTCCTTATTATGATGTCAATCTGCAAGTGTTCTATTTCCATGTGGCACGAAAGCAGAAGTCACTGTGTTATCAAGCATCAAGAAGACTTCAAAGAGAAAACATGAACGTTCTTGTTAACAGACTGTAGAGTGATTCATCTTTATTCTGTACATTTTTTTTTGTCATTTGGTTGCATAGAAGTACATTATGCTTTTTTTATAAGGAGGAAACCAAGACATAAAAGCCTAACTGAGAATGAGTAGCTCTGGGGACGCTTTTCTGCTAGGCTTACATTGCCTTCAATTCCCTCTTCTCTCAAACTTAAGATTCTGATTTAGTGTATCCAGAATGAAGAGCTAATAAAATAAAGATAGGCAATTTTCAACTAGAGGGATATCTTCTATCCCTTTATCTCTTATTCCCTAGAGGCAATTGTTATTTTATTATCCCTTACCATACCCATTCCTAGCTCTCTGGATATATCCATGTTTAACATAGGACATTTAGATAAATGGAGCCCTGGCCATGGAAAGTCAAGAGCATTACATGATATTTCTATTATTATGCCTGTATTTGATGATCTCTCTCTCTCTCTCTCTCTCTCTCTCTCTCTCTCTCTCTCTCTCTCTCACACACACACACACACACACACACACACACACACACACACGCATTCAATTAGTGATTCTACAATCAATGGAGCGTGTAACATAGCAGATCCAATGAAGCTTGGCTTGGATCGTTACCAAAACCACACCATGAGAAAAATCAAGCCTACCTTTTAAGAAAGCAAGTTCTAAAAAAAAAAAAAAAACAAACCTGAGATCTGTTCTCAGATTTCCTAGGTTCATGAAGTCATGAGTACTGTGGCCTGCTTATTCAAAGGGAACTGTCTTGGAACAGACGGTTCTTTCTATAGTGCAATAGAGTAAAAAGGAGGAATGAGTTCAAGCAGCTTAGCTGTCCTCTCTGTCCCTAACAGTTTTAATAGGGTAAGTTCTGCCCCCTTTCAGAACCTCAGTTTCCCACTTGTGAAATAAGCTGCCAGTCTTGCGGACTTTGAAAGTCATTCCCAGATTCTGAGGCACGATGTACAAATCACTTGGGACAAAATTAAGACAAATCCCTTCAGACCGTATTTGTGATACCATGGTAAGTTCTGGATTCTCCACTTAGAGTGGGACTTTGTGGGCTGCCAGTATGGTCAACAGTCTGGGTACTAACTCACCACTAATAGAAGAACTCGGGTGACTTGCTAAGGAAGTACAGATTCAGAAAGGCGCTAGAAGATCTTTGAATGCCTTGTGGCTTTCGAGGAGCATACGGTGTTCACTTGTTCAATTTGGGAGTGAAGAAAGAAGGAATGGTAGCTGACATTCACATTCTGTCTGAACAGAAGTGGCTTCCCTGAAACTCCGCTGCTCACCGAGCCACAGAAGACAGCTTGATGGGCTTCCCCAGGAAAAGTGAAGCAGCTGGTTTGAAGTCGGAACACTGCAACCAGCTTATGCTTGAGGAAGAGAAGCATTACACATCTGAAAATTCTGCATATCAACAGATGCTGCTTCTCAGAGCAAGTATAAAACACATTAAATTCTATAAACAAACAAACAACAACAAAACCCTTCTACCAGCAGCTTATTCATACAACTTAAATATAAAGAAGAAGAAACTCCTATTTTTAACTTGGAAAAATCTGAATTTTTAATCTAGATTTTTCTGATAAGTTCAAAATATTTGATATGTAACCATTCTTCTCCCAGTCACATCTTATTATGAATAAATACTTTGTATTTTATAATATTTATCAATGATTACAACCTACCTTGAATATGAGGATTTAGCTATTTAATTTAAAAAAATTAAATTTATTATTATTCGATACTTTCGTACATCTATTCCTCCTCTCATCTCCCTCTCTGTTCTGCTGGAGCCTACAAACCCCTCTCCCATTTGACTTTTTCTTTTTGCATATGACAAGCTACTATAATATTAGATGTTCTTGTCTCAGCCTGGGTAGAAGGTAATCTACCAGAGCAAGAGTAACTTATTAGTGGGCATACCACTGAAGAAAATGACACTCTGTCCTCCAACACTCTGACCTTTGTTATTATCCTCTTAAAAAAGCCAGTTCAAGAACTAGAGGTCAAGGCCTAGGTCCTTTGATACCTACATTGACTGTATAGACGTTCTTAGGAGAATTCCAAATGTATCTAAGGATAAAAGCCAAATGGTTGCAAGACTCAAATAAACTATATTCTATTGGTCAATACTTAATAAAAATTATGAAATAATCAACAAAAATCTATCAATTATATCTGGAGGCCTTTAAAGGAGTGTCTAGCCAGCTATATGCCACTATCTAAACAGCTAGACCAAAACAGAAACCCACTTGATAAGATGTTAACAACAACAAAAAGAAGATATTTGTATGCTTGGTGAAAGATACACTTCATTCCCCATAATATTGCATCAGAGAAAACAAATACAAAATTCTCCAGGGACTAAAGGATTAAGTAAGCCAAAACTTCCTTAAAAAGGAAAAAAGGTAATGAAGCCTCTCAGCAGAAATTTAAATTTCTCCCAAGCCAGCACTTATGAACTCTAATGTTATACTTCAATTTTCAGCTGCATTGATTAAACTTCTAAATTATGTGAACTGAGAAACACCCTCCCCCGCTCCCATATATAACAACAGCTAAAAAACACAGGTCATGAATTTGAAAGAGAGCAAGGGGAGATACATGAGAAGGATTGAAGGTCAGAAAGGGAAGGAGAGAAATGGTGTAATTATATTTTCATTTCAAAACATAAAAACAATATTGTAAAATAATAGCTAACCATATAAAAATATGATGTCTCTCTCTAACTACTAAGAGTAGGGCACAGGATCCCTTTGCAAAAGCCAAAACTAAAATAAACAACCAGATGGAATCCCTGACGGACATAATTACTTACCTGCTTTTAAATACATCCACTGCCATAAAGGCAGCAGTGGGGATCTCTTGGATCTTCCGCGACAGAATGAAGCCAGCTTCTTCCAAGAGGATGCTATTCTGACCCATTACTGTCATGTGCATTGGTCATCTGGAGCGGGCAAGCTGTGACTCCAGAGAACTACAGTCTTTCCCTGATTACTCCAATGGCTAAGCAGCCTGTTCCCAGAGGGAGCTTGAGAATTAGACTACCTACAGAAACGTGTAAACTGTTCTTCCTTATCTTCCTTCTGCTCCGAAATGCCTTGGTATCATTGTTATATTTGCCCTAGTCTTTGCAGTAAGTCTTGACTGCCCTAGGTACATCTGACTGAAACCATCGCAAAAGCATCTATTAGTACTCTTTTAGCTTCCTGACACAGGATATATTGCATTTATCTATTATAAATGGGCACAGAACATCTCTCAGTTCTTGCCTGTGAAAGACCTGAACAGGTCAAAGGGTCTCCTGGATCCTGATTAACTACATCTCATTTAAACTTCATGTAATTGATAATATATTATCACTTGAACCCAAGCCCATGACGTCAAAATTCATATATTCTTAACATTAGTATTAATTTATTGTTCCTTTACTTATGAGACACAGTTTCAAAGAGAGCCATGGGTGTTGTTTAAATTCCTTGCACATTGCTTGAAAGATTTTATTACTGTGTGAACATTCTCTGGAATATGTTAATATGAAATGTGTTATTGAATCAGAGTAAAACGATTAAATCGTGTTCTTGATGAGTAAGTCCACACATAATCATTTTATAGTAATAATAGCCAGCCATTCTATAACCAAAAGCAAAGGGCTGCACTGACTTCATTAGAAGAACTGTGATATTCATATTCACCATAATGCAGTGTGGATGCAATATTTCTTTTTGTAAAAAATGAGTGATCAGATGCTTCAAAACTGAAGTGACTTATCTAGTTACATATTATGACAAAGCTGGAGGACCCCAGAATCCTGACTTTGGTGCTTTTCACCTCTACTCTATTGACATCAACTAAATAATCATTTGAATCTAAAATAACTTGCATAAAACAAGCCTTGATATAAAAAAGTTAATTCTTGGCAAAACACAAAATTCTATTGCAAAATATATTTAGTTTGGATGACTGTGTATGATCCTAAGTTATATCTTCTACACAACACGGATAGAAAAAATGTATCTGTGATGATTAATCTTGACTGTCAGCTGTACTGTGTTGAGAATCACCTAGGTGACATGCTTCTCAGTGGATCTGTGAGTACATTTTCAAAGAGGCTTAAACTGAGGTGCTAGTGCCTACCATGGATGTTGGCAGCAGCATTCCATGAAATTTGGTCTAGACTGACAGAGGGAGGGAGGAAAGGAGGGAGAGAGGGAAGGGGTGAGCACAACAACAAGAACTAAACACCAGGATTCATTTCTCTGCTTCCTGACTGGAAACAATGTGATGAGTACCCCATGCTTCTGCCACTAGAGGGACTACGTCCTGTCCAACTGTGAACCATAATAAACAGTCTCTCTGAAGTGATGTTTTTGTTTGCCATTTTGCCCTAACAATGAGAAAATTAATGTACATAATATTTTAACTTTAGATTATGTAAATGTATTAGTTATGTGCAACATTTTGTAAGGATAAACACTTTTTTTTCCACAACAGGTTTTCATTATAGAATAAAATCAAAGTGACTTATTTGGTGCTTTCTTTCTTTTTTTTTTTAAATCCCAGCTATTCATCTGTGCCAGCTGACATGGGGCTTTCTTCAAAGCTTTGTATAAGAAAACAATTGCCAGATTCAACTCCCACAGCAAAAATGGGATTATCATGATTGCCCTTCTTGGGAAGGTGGAGTACAGAAAAGAGGCCTTGAATCTATTTTCACATGGAAGATAAGTTTACTAAATTATTGCAAAATATGTTCAGGTTCTCAATAAATATAAATGGATTAGTGTGTGATATGTTTTAAAAACTGTTAAACCTCGTGTTGGTTGTAAATGATGAATTAATCGATGCTCATTTCTAAATAAAGTAAAGACTATGTCTCAGCTGATGCAAACTTGTCATGAGCACCCCTGGCTGATGGTTTCTGACAAGAGAACTCTGTTCCAACAGAGATTAGTTGAAGGTCAGTCACCTTCCATGGATCTCTTAAGAAATGTCTTTATACAGAAAGGAGTTGGGGTGGATGGTTGACTCCAATCCTGAGATCACGTGACCAGGGACTTATTGTCAGAAAAAATAAATAAATAAGAAGGGAAACCAGAGGAGTTGATCATTGTCATGAAAGAGCTCCAGGATCTTCTGGACTTAGGTTCTCAGTTGAGGAGACAAATGGAGTCACTAGGGTTTACTGTTCTTGAAGGGATGGAAGGCATTAATGGAGGCATGAGAAGTGAGATGCTATGACTTGCCCAGATCATTTAGGTTTCGTGCTTGTGCCAACCAGATGTGTCATCTCTATTAAGAAACAGCGATTTCCATGAACAGAACCCTAAACAAGTTTAAAAAGACTTGGTGCGTCATTGAGAAAAAATTCCTTTGCAAGATGATTACATAATACGACCTAAATTAATGCTAGCTTACATTTGCCTGGCATATTAATATTACTGAGTGTGTTCACATCTTCTGAGTCAGTTGACTAACATAGAAGCTTGACGTGGGTAGTGTCGTTGCCTCATTTTATAAAGACAGAGACAAGGCTTTAGAGAAGTGAAGGTGTCCAAGACCTCAGAACTACTGAATGATGGTAGGACAAAGTTTTAGAGGCAGGTGCTTGGGCTCAGTGCTCACTTCCACACAACAGTTTCATCTTCATGTGGGTTTGATACAGCGATCAGGATGGCTGTTGTTACTAGCTATTTGATTCTTTTCTTTAGATTCCTCTTCAACTGGAAGGATTCTAGGACACATTACAGCATGGTTTATAAGCTTATACGTGTCTTCACTAATCCTAGTTGCCATGGTTTGAATATTGATACACACTCTCCAGCAAAAAATGAACAGTTCAAATATGGTGGTACATGAATGGAGCCAATCGGAGGGACAGTCAAACACCTTGGGGTCTACCTCTCTTCTGTAGGAAAAACATCTGGCATTTTTGAATCACAAGAATTATGATCTGTGTGAACATATTACAAATCTGCTGGTGTGCAGAATGAGTGGCCCCCGATTCCTTGACAAAGATTGTTTCCAAACAATCTCCAATTTTTTTTAAAGAACTAGAAACATCTATGCACAATCTGCCCAACAAGAAAAAGGAACTTATCCTGAATCAAACTTTCTCAAAATATTCTTGACATGATACACAAAATGGTATTTTCTGCATGAGGACATCTAAGTTTTTCCATCGCCATTTGAGAAAGATGCTGTCTTTTCACACACACACACACACACAGGCACATTCACGCACGCACACATGCACTCATGCACACACACACATCACTTTGTCAAATATTTGATTACCATAGTTATGAGTACTCACATATGATTGGGTCTTCTCTTTTGTTTTATTGCTCTCCATGTTTCTCATTGTTTCAGGTAAATGGACCCAGAAAAGATTCTACTGAGTGAGGTAACCCAGAACCAGAGAAGCAAGCACCACGTACTCTGTTTCACCTGAGATTTTTAGCTTCAAATTGTGTGTATAAGAATGGACTAATCACAAAGCCCGGAAAAGTATAAAGAGACCACAGGTGGGGAAGGGTCCTAGGAGTGTGATAGCAAGATCCAGGTGATATCAAGTAGGAAACAAAACAACATGGAGGGAGTTCCAGCTGGGTAGGAGAGAGGGAGGTCAATACAGAAGGAAAAGGAGAAGGAGGAACGATGGAAAAATAGCATCAAAGCTGTTTGATAAAGCATCTAAGAATCAGGTTATTTTAATTTATTTTACATTTACCTAAGATAATACACAATGCATACAAGTATGTGTACAGATATGCACGTATATGTGTGTATGTGTGCATATATACATGTATGTGTGTTCACACATATACTTTTAAAGTGAGTTAAGATCCTCGGGCTGACAATATTTCCCTTAAGTGCTGTAGACTACCAAAAAAAAATAATAACCTCTACAAGTCATGAGCATGAGAAACCCTCCTTTTAAACGATGGATCGATGTAGTCCAAGTGACTCTGGTTATTGATGTAGCCCTTAGTTGCCTCTCAGGGCTTAAGGAGAGGCCCCTGTTGCTGAAGATGCTGCATACCCAGGACATAGGACTCGGATGACTTGAGGATCTACCTACTTTCCATGGCTTCAGAAGACACTATGCAACTTGCCAAAGGAAGCAAGCAATTAACCAGTCCTACTTAGGAGCAACACCTACAAACCATCGCAATTACCAGCATAGCAGAAAATGAATAAAAGTTGCAATAAGTGGCGCTCACTTTTTGGGGACAGCTAACAGCTGTCTAATTGATTAATGCTTAAAATGAATGTGTAATGTTTAATTAATGCACTGAAGACCCACTCAACAGGAAGAAAATAATGCTCTGGTAGTTAAACCTAGGCAACTCTCTGAGGTTAGTGAGGTCATAGACCTTAGAAAAGAATTGACTTCGGCCATTGCTGGACAAAGCATAGTTCTTCAGTATATCCTAAATCTTATTCTAACACCACAGATGAACAGAGCTACCATCCCTTATCAAAGAAGCCTCCTTTCCCCATCTCGACTATCCAGTTCCCTTAAGTCTTCCGCCCACCTCCCCTTTTCCTCTCCTCCTCCCCTTCCACCCTCCCTTCTCCCCCACCTCCATGATCCCAGTGCCAGTTCCTAAGGCAGATGCTATTCTGAGAGAATAAAATGGAGGAAAACAAAAACAAATCGAAATATGTAATAACAAAAATATTCTAGCTTTAATTTTATGTCATGAAATAATTATTAAAGTAAATGTCAGTTTTGCTGGTGCACTTAAGAAATGTAAACTTCACATTATTATTATTCTGACAGTTACATTTTTAGTGCTATTGTCTGTCCCAAACATCTTAGGACGTCAGTCTTAGGTGTGGAGAGGAGAAAAAGGCCAAAGAAAAACAAATATTCTTATGGTTTAACAAACAAAATATTTATGATGTTAGAGTCAGTATGTAAAAACTGTCTATGCATGTAAAAAGTGAAATGCCAAGAGGTTTCTTAAAGATGTGATTTTCCCGAGTCAGGTGAATAGATAAAGAAAATATGTCATACAAATATAGAATTTTGTTCAGCTATAAAGAAAAATAAAGTTATGACATCTCCAGAAAAGTAGAACTAGAGATTGCCATCATAAGCAAACTAAATCATATCCAGAAAGACAGATATGACATCTTCTTCATTAATATATGCAACCTATATATTTAAAAATATGTGCATATATACAATTATAGTATTTTTGCATGACAAGAAAGCAGAAAATGGACTATTTAGGAGCAGGAAGGAAACCAACAAAAGCAGAGAAGGAGAATAGAAGAAGATAATGGACACTGAATATGGGCAGAGCATCTGACATACATGTACAGAAGGGCTGTGGTGAAGCATCATTTTATATAACGAATATACCCTGAAAACAAAAGGGAAACTATCTCATGAATAAAAGGAAATATTCAAAAAGGATTGTAAGATTTTGACTTTTTGTCCTAATTTCTATTGTGATTTATATTTTATTTATGAATAAATTATTTTTAAAAGAAGGCACTACAACTGGGTTGTAAAACCCCAAAGCCTGTTGAATTACTAGATTATTTATTTCCTTCTTAAACAGACTCAATTTCCAGAGTTCTTGTTTCACAAAAAAAATTTCATTTATAAGATATCCTGAACTTTTCTCTTTGTTCATCGTGGAAGCTTTTATAGAGAAAGAAGGAAACCTTTAACCACAATGATGCGCCTCCTACTACATCCTGCCCTTTCTCTGCACATTTGGTCCATTCAGGCTGCTTTCATGCTCACACTGGAACCATTTTAGCCAACTGATAGGTCCCTTGAAGCAAAATGTCCTTGTGATCAAAGAAGCATGGAGTTATTTAAGAAAGAAGCTCATTTTCCTTAAAATTAAGTGTATTGATGCTCTTAGCAAACCCACAAGTCAGAGAAAATTTATACTTAGGATCACCTACTCCTATTGTCCTTATTCTTCATACCTCTACCTGATTTAATTATATCATGAGTAGTATAAGAAGAATGTGTGGGGCAGACATATGGTTTAACAATAGCACAAATGTTCCAATGTCCATCAAGCAGGTCCATGAACTGTTTCTTCAAAATGTTGTATAAGCTTATTCCCTAACACCCATTCTTTAATGCTACTCTGGCCACCAGCTGTCACCTGGTTCCACCTCTGCTTCCTTTCTTAAGCTAAAAACACCCATCAACCACCCACTTGGGGGACGTTTCTTAATATATGGAGGCAGTGAAGTGGCTCTCCTTCTCTCTGTCCTTGCTAAATAATACTTATCCCATTTGTTATTTTTAGTCAGTATAGAATTCAGGTGGGTGTAGAACTCTAAGACACTAGAACAGTGGATATATAGCTTCAAATACATTCAAGATTGGATTTATTTTAATGTTTTTTTTCTCTGAAAGATTAAAGATTACATATTCATGTGAGGCCTCATTAACTATAGAACTGGCAGTAGAGAAATAACCAAATGTCCAGAAAAGACACTCGTGGATCAAAACAAAAGCCCTGTTATAAGGAATCCCAAAGCCAGAAAAGATATTGTGTAGCTTTGGACCCCCAAATCAGTAAATGGCATAACTCTTCCAGAGACTCTCACAGGATGGTTGTGTATTTTTACTTTGTTGCAGTCTAGACACTGGGCTGACTTTTGCTACTCTAGGTGGTTGACTGTGTTGCAGCTCAGGGCAAGAGCAAGCAGGGATGGCAGCTAGTGCAAAAGTGGAAATAAAACATGTAAGTTCAAAATCACCTAGTTAGTAAGCACACGATGACAATCACAGGGTTTTTGT